AACTGGCTGAACTTCAAATTGAACTAGGCATATCAAAGGAAAGAATTCGTTGTTTTCTTATTGTGAGTTAATAATTTCTATATGAAAACTCATTGAATGGTAATCTGCTGTTTAAGGTGAGGATAAATTTCACACGTTGAATGCAAACAAATGCAGTAACAATTCATCACTTAATTTGAAGCAGTTTGTATTACTTGAAGTGCCTAACGATCATTAATAATACCGAAAATATCGATAATTAATATTAACGATCATTAATAATCATTGCATTACGTAACGATAATTAAATACGTGATTATGTTCAGAAAGGAAAAATTTTCCATCTTTGCGGCAAACTTCAAACAAAAGTATTATGTATTTCAAATATTAAATTTTCATGACTTGCGGAATGCTGTATTGCAGATGCATTTTTATTGAAATTTTGTATATATTGCAGTATCTTATTACATCCTTTTTCCGTGTAATGCTTTGTATCGTGTTATGCATTCTCCCTAATATTTTTAATCTAAAATCTTTGAATAACCTTTAGAAGTGCAAAAATAGTAAGAAGTTTCTTTGAAAATTCATTTTCAGTATTTAAAATAAACTCTGTAATATTACACGCCTAATTTCTGCGAAATGATACCTAAAAGGATGTACATATTTTAACCAGACCCAGTATAGAATTCTGCTGTTCTATAAGTGATACTTTGTACGTGACTTTATAATATATTTTATGTGAATTAACCAGCTTTTATGATTTGGATCTTTACTATAACTTCTCCTTTCCGTTAGCCCTCACTAGGATACAAATGAATTTAGAGTATCTAAAATGAGGGTTTTGAATGTTTCATGTATATAGTTTGTATCAGCAACGCTTAAGTGTAAAATTAATGTTCAGTTAAAAAGTTCCATTAATGTTTTGAGCCAGCTTAGTTAGACCAAATTTTTGTAGTCTCCGGCTACGATCGTTTTAAGTTATAAATTCAAATTCATGTCATTTTATTACCTGTAAGTGGAGGAAATGTGATCGTAAGCACACGTTGTGGTCTTTTGCTTAAATTCAAGCTTAAACAGAAAAGTTTTATTTATAACCTTCATAAGACTTTGTGCAAATTTTCAGACGGAGCGAGTACTCGCTTGTCAGTCTAATAGGGTCTGAAGGATTTTGATTCAGTATTACACAGCTAGACCCTATAACTTGCCCAGTTTCAGAAAATTATTAGTGCGTGGATCTATGACACTGTGCTGTTTCGCTTCATAAATATCTCAAATTCGTATAAATTCAGATGAGATCATAGTTTAAATTCTTGTATTCAGTGTCTAAAGCTTTATAAGTTCCAATAAGCCATCGTAAAATTTAGACATATTATTGGAAACTTTTCCTTAGATTACAGTAGTACTCTAATTTTGTTATTTATAATAGTGATTGTGTCATAAATAATAACCGGTTACAGTTCTCTTTATGGGAGCTTTAATATTATGATTAATGAATTTTAGAAATTAGATGAAATTGAATTAAATGAATGATTTTAAAATGAATTAAATGAATTTTTAAAATTTGTTCATAATAGTTAAGGTTTTGAGAGACTTCGGAAAAAAATTGATATAAATATTAGAAAAATATGAAACAAGAGAAATATGCTTACATCTATAAAGATTTATTTTATGTTAAGGCACTCCTTATATGTGAAGATTCTTTGAAATTCTTTAAAATAAAAATATCTATTTAAAATGAAAACTGAAACATATACTGCTTTTCAAGCATAAGACAATGAATTCGTCATAACTATAAAAGATTTGCATTGTTTGACTGAAAACTCCGTACGAAGGTAATTATTTCAGTTTATAATTATGACTAAAATCTTTAAGCAGGTTGTGATAGCTCAAAATCCAATGCATACATATTAACGCAGAATCAGTACAGAAGGTGAGATATTAAATAATTTACTGAGTTTGCTCCGTGTTCTTTCTTCCTTTTAGATTATTTCATGGTTGTTATCGAATCCCAGCACAAATTTTGAATCATCCGCGAATAAGTATATTGGACCATTCATCTGCTTTCAATTCGCATGCTCATCACTCCACTTCAACTGATTGCCTTTGACACTTCAGGAGACACAAACTTATGTTACTCAGATGTACAGTCCTTTCATACGATGTTTCGCAGAACGCTATGCGCTTATAATGATCCTCGAATTATTGCAGTAATCATTGCTTAAAGTAAACACGCGGTTAAAGGTGAAGTGAACACGCGTCAGCTGCGCTTAATCCATAAAGCCACATGCAGGTTGCGACCATGAAAAGAAAATGTCTGAAGAAAAATTCTCAGACAAGAAGTTGATAGGTCGATTTATTAATGCCGTTAACTTTTAAATACCGATAACTAACTAACTTAAGTGATTTTAACTTTTTAATTACTGTTCACTCTGAGAAGTTATTACTGTAAATCAACGGGTTATCGCTTTTAATAAATTTCGACTGTTCACACATGGTACAACGTAAAATGTTAAAGTTAATTTAAACTTTATAACCTTACCGCTGAAGTCTAACTTAAAATAATACGACATAAAATTAAAGGCTTCTTGACATACAGCTTGCTGAAATTTGCAATGTATCAAAAGCTTACAATTCTAGCGAATCTGCGTGAAGCTACGATCTAATTCGGTTAAACAGGTAGAACTCAGTTAATATATAATACTTAGTAAACATGCCAGTATAGCTGTTCACGTCTATTTTGCCCAGGGGCTTTTCTTTCTACAAGTAAGCAGCAAAATAGACACCAGCCAAGTTTCTACACCACATCATGCCGATTGTGATTCTCATTTTAACCTACGCCGTTTGCAATAGAATCTGCATAATCCTTTGAACTGAGTGAGTAGCTGGCGAAACGAGGCGTAAAGAAAAAAAGCAAAGAAATTTAACTGGTAGTCAATGTAAATGAAATGTCACGTCATTATATTAATAAAATGTTCAATTAATTGTTAAATTAAATAGCAAATATTCGGCTAATCTTTGGAATATGGTAACAGGTAGTTTGGCGACATTTTGGTAAGGCGATAAAGGTTACTAGCTAGGACTTTAGCAGTGTACATGGATAAAGTCAAGAGTGTGCGCAATGCTATTTTTGTGCAATTCTGGGATGTTTAAAGCGAAAATAAGTCGACGTGTACATGGATGATACCGTGTATGTGCAATTCTTAAAAACGCGGCAAGCAGTGGGCGATTCTGCATATTGTCCCAATTTCGCACCTAATTTTCGTCACGATTAAGCACTTTTGGTTTGTTCCATAAAAGTTCTAGAATAAGCGTAATTCGGCTAGCAGATTGTTAGAAAAAAATTTTTGAGTTAAAAAAAAACAAAAAACATGCCTTTACTTCGTGAAAACAAAATGGCGTCCAAACAAAAACTAGCAGGTTGCTGTAGCAGGGTTGGTCGCCAAATGTTCGCCAAAAAATCGCCAAGTTATCATAATTCAAAGATTAACCAAATATTCTCGCAAAAATAAGTGAACGAATAAATAAATAAATAAAAAATTATTCTAAGTAAATAATATCATAAAGTACAAAAAAGTAAAACAAAACTTCATATATAAGTGTTTTAGTAATTTCAAAAATACTCACTGAGTACTAAAATACTTGCAGTCTTTTCGGAGACAGACACTAGAAATATATTCAGTAATTTTTAAAGATGTTTCTAACTTCAAGCCATTTATTTTTAAAAATTGTTATTTAAATGTAATCACTTAAGATTTAAAGGATTATTCTAATACCTTTTTAAGGAAGCGCTGATTAATTAAATTGTCTCTTTTGAAATCAATGTAGCTGATAATATAAAAAACAAAACCGAATTACTTTTGAAACTATTTTTAGCACTGATTTGCTAGCGCCATCTTCTCAGATTGGCAATGAATTGCGAACTTAATAAATTGTTTAAAGAAGCCTTTTCATAATTCACAGGAACGTTTATGATTAATTACATAATGTTGAATATATAACCCTCGTATGCTTTATCGTGTTAAGTTAAACAAAAGAGAAACGAAACTTCTATGAATTAATGTTTTAAACCTTTGTTTCCCCCCAAAATAGTTTTTCTGATGCAGTGAGAATCGTAAGCTTGACTATTAACTTATGTAGCACATAAAGTACTTTGATATCTAAATTAGAGATTGTGGAGGTCGTCGTATTACATAGCTGTTTTTTTTTTTTTTTTAGTTCGATTAGAGTGCGCTCATCTGAGATAATGTTATTTTAACTATCGATAACAATGTTTATTTATATTTTGAGGAATATTGGTTATTTTTTCATCTACGGATGGAGTCACTGTAGAGATTTCACCAGAGAATATGATAAAACCGGATTACTTGGAACAGGTATCCAAATGACTTGAATCGTGCTTTCGAAACTGTTTCAAAGGCTAAAAGTTATAGACTAGTCAACACCAATGAAAAATCATCTTTAATATAGTGTTTCGATTCAAGACGGTTCTTTGATCGTATTCTTTGAACAGTAATAAAGCTTATCTAATAAAATAACCAGAATAGTCTTTAAAAAATTTCTATCATCTACTCCAAGGTTTCAGAATCTTTCCCCGTTGCCTAATTTGCATATGTGTAGTGAATAAATCTTAATAGGTAACATAAAAATATCTGCATATTCTATGATATAACTACAGTGAATTTCATCTAATAAAAGAGAAGCACGTATTCCAAAACCCATAGCATCACGTGCTTGCCTTTCGAAATCCAAATGCAATATATTTCGAAACATAATATATATCTTGGTCGAGGAAATCAGTATTTGAAAAAAAAAAAAAAAGAACTCAGATTTTATATCTACAAAAGCAATAATAAACACGATGAAAAAATAAAAATAAAATAAAACTTATTAAAATGGGCTTCTGTCTTTTATTATGATTAACGCGAACAAATTTAATCACTATCATGTTATATTTCAAACCGACATAATTTTTGCATTTACTTTATATCCAGTTTCTTAAGCGATTCAAATTACTTTTTCAGGTGTTGTTGATGCTTCTCTTATGCCTCTACTTGCTTATTTAGTGGATTCAAGATATGTGGCATTATATGGAAGCGTCTATGCAATTGCTCAGGTTGCTGTATGTCTTGCATATTCCATTGGTAAGTAAATAAGCAAAAAATTTTATCATTATTTTTATTACTATAAACTGATATTTTGCTAGTTTTCTGTCATGATAGGATTTTAAAATGCAAAACAGTTTTCACAATTTTTATTCTTATCGTAATAATATTTAAAAAGATATAATTTCCTTTTAATACCTAAAAATTGCCCTAAAGTAAAATTCTTTCAAAATGGCAAATTTTTCCCAAAGAATAATCGTTAATCCGATATCTTTTATCATTCTATGACGTTCTAGCGTGCCGTTGCTTTTCGCAGAAAAGCAGATGAAGACCTATAAATGTGTTTAATGCGGCTATTCATGCATTAGAAATGACCTTTTACAAGATAAACATGCTATTGCTTAGATACGGTCAGATTTTGATAAAACGTTTCAATCACAACGTTCTATATTTGAAGTAAACAGAAGCCAGAAAAATTCTACATGTTCAGAATGCAAGAATCTCTTACAATCATTCGAAAGCATCAAATGAATAATTCATATTCGTGTCTAAGATGAATGCGGGGAATTTACAAGAATCTTATGGCAAATTTTCTGATATATTGATATACAATATTTTTATTATATTGCTGTAGAGAATTTTGAACAAAGCATACAATAATTTTAAAATTTTCCAAGAGAAGAACACAGTAAATTTTAGATAAGAGTATTTTATAAAAGAAGAGGAAATGAAAGAACAAATAAGAAGTAACTGAAAAATGAATTTATTTCTATTTTTTAATACTAATATTTTTAAATATCTATATAGCTTTCTCAGTTTTTAGAATTATCAATTTCACAAACATAACACAATTTGAAATGCATTTTTATACTGTATAGTTTACAATTATTCAGTTTCCACACATCACAGTGTGGAAATTAAATGCAACACAGATAGCTTAGGAATATATTTGTAACTTAAAACTATTAGTATATTTTTAAAATTATAAAAATATTTTGTAGGTAAAATTCGCAGAAAATGTAATTTATGAATAGAAAACTAAACTATGAATTAACTGAACAAATGTTCACAATTAATGATATAGTTTTGCTCTGGTTATTATATTGTCATACGAAATTAATTAATAATAAACATGCAAAAAGAACAAAACCAAGTAATCTAACCTCTAATAGTAAAGAAAGGATAAAATCTCACACAGTAAAGAAAATAATAATAAGCAATATTTATGAAACAACAAATAATTTTTCACACACTCGTTACTTCTGTGCAGTTACTGAATTGTGATAATTTCGGATGGAGTTTATTATGGCAAATCACGTGAGGACTATCGGCCTTAGAAGAGGGATGCCTATGGGAAGAACTTCTTAAAGGTAACTAGTTCATATTTACTTTACATATAACATTACACGTTACGTCACGTTACAAGTTTTACGTTACGTTACAAGTGCACGAAAACTTCCATCTAGCCTGGCATTCACAAAGATTTTAACTCGGGTATAACTACTAGATTTCGACGGTTTTAGTGTTCTATCGCTGATGGGAGAATTCTAGCGAAGCAAATGATATGTTTGCGTGAATTTCTGTGATAAATAAGCAGTAACTCACAAAGTAACTGCAATTATAATCGTTACACAATACTTCTTGGTATGTGATGTGCCAACTGTTTATGCTGTACCAAGGTATGTTTCATATGGCATTAAAAACATATATTATTAATTACGATACAAACGGTTAACAAAAATCCTTCGTTAAATATGCCATAGATCTCTTGAATTAGATGCATTACAAATTACTCAGAGATATATTAAATATAGATATCAATTATTCTGAAACGATGTTTTGTTTTGATTGGAAGGAAAAATTAAAGATCTTATGGAATGTCAAATTGTAACACTATGAGGACTGACAATGTTCTAGGCCACATGGATGATAACTGCCTGATACCATAATACACCCGTGACACATAAAGACTATTTTTAACTTTGTAAAGTTTCACCTTCTTTGAAAGCATAAACTAAGTGAGACTCAAGTTGAATCTAAGGGACTTATCACTATGTCTAGTAAGAAGACACAGAACGTAAGAAATGTGTAAAGGACCTTTTTATCCAAACGCGGTAATCTAACAGAAGGCACTTCTTGTGATTACAAAACCAGCTCGCATTTAAGGCGTAACTCAAAAGTAATGAAATTGAAACGTAGTCGCAATTTAGCCAAAGGTTACATAGTATGAATAACGTGCAAGTTAGATCAAACCTATGCTAGCATGACAAGCATTAATGGCAAGAATAATGCAACGCCGCAGACAGAGAAATATCAAAGAGTTTCAACTACTAACTTGGCCTTCAGCAGGCGGAACACGCTCTGGTTAAACAATCTAAAACATTCCTTTAATTACTATCTTATTCTATCTCATTTGAAAATGCGCGAACTGAACTAAAATTTGCATTCTGGCAAGAAAACGGAAAAGAAAAATGACAGTAAATTTACTTAACATAAAATAACTGGGTAGATAAAAATAAATAAATCCTTAAAAGTTCAGTAGCTACTATTAAAGTATTCACTGTGATATTTGCATTTCCTAAATGACTTCGTATAAAGTGGATTAGTTGCTGTCTACAACTATTTTCAAATCACAACGGACGTTCCCACCGCCTTTTTGATTTAAACCAGTATTGGGATTTATCAGGTTCCCAGTAGATCGGCAAAAAGATTCCTAAAATATTTTCTGTTCAGCGAATTGACTGTCAGAACTGAACTATGATATCTGTTTAGATAACTTTTCATTATTTGATAAAAAAATTCATCATTTTGTAGAGACATCAGGTACTTTTTTCGGAAGTAGGAGAAATGAAAAACGAGCAAACCCTCCTCCGGGAATCGAGCCACGGACCTCTCGTATACTCGCCCAGCATGCTGACCACTACACTACGAAGGAATGCTAAGAATGCGGGAGAAATACCTTATATACTCCCCCTTTTAAAGGAGACTGGGGTTTAGGGGATATAATCGCCAAATCCTGGGCGTGGAGAATCATCATCCTTCAACCTTTTAGTTCGGGAGCCACTGTAGAGACATTAGGTATTTTTTTGGAAGCAGTAGAGATGAAAAATGAGCAACGTCTTCGCCGGAAATCAAACCACGTACCTCTGGAATACGCTTCCAGCGTGCTGACCACTACACTATGAAGGCATGCTAAGAAGTCGGGAGAAATACTTTATAATTTATTTCAGCAGAGAATCGTCTTTAAAATTTTGAATTTCGCCACTATTTGAGCTACATTTAAATAAGCTAAATTCTTTGTAATGAGTTGTCAGTTATTCATATGAGTCAATTAAGCTTTCTTCAAAACTTAACAAGGAGAAGTGTAGAAACATAGAAATCAAATCACCAGAAATTAATTTCGCAGCGTTACAAAATGAATTCAGTTGAAAACAGTTTGAAAATCTTTTGGATAATAAATTTTCTGTTATTATCTGTTATTGTGTTTAGCAAAAATCGGTTCTTTTGTGTAATGGATGTGAGAACTGTGAATAGTGAATGGTTTTAGTGGAATGTCGCATATAATTTAGGATTTTAAGTAGGGATAACATATGGAAATTATTGTTGTGCAAGTTAATGATAAGCAAATATTAAAAGACATTCTCTTCTCTTTTTTTAATCTCTTTCAGAGTCATTTTTAAAATTGGGCTTGAATGTTTCTTTATATCATTAAGTTAATGACGAAACTCATAAGGAATTATTTTTAGGGTGAATATGATTAGAAAATGAAATGAAAAGATATATAAATAAGAAAAAATCAGTCTCATTCTCATTGGATTTACATCCTGTTTACTTAATTTACATTTCAATGAAAATAGCTTTTTTCTGCTTTAAAATGTTATACTTCTAATACAAGATACAAGATTTAAATTTAAATAAAATATTAACTAAAGGAGTAGTACATTTTGTTAAAAAGTATTTTGGAAAGTCATCTTTTTTATTTTTATTTTTATCTTTTTTTTTTTTTTTTTCTATTTTGAAATCGAGTGACACATCTCGTTTTGTAAGATTCGGTACTGACAGTCCCCTTCCCTTCGCAGATTCAAGAAATGTTTAAAGAATTCGTTTCTGCCGGATAGTGTTGAAAATATTTTCGTTCGTACTTTTATCTTTTTCGAGTTATTTACAAAAAGAGTTTGCCATGGCGGTTGGAACGATAGTTGCCTTTTCGTCCCTATAGACAACCGAACCAGGAAAAAAAAATCAAATCTGCTGTTCTTTTGTACCGGGATGTGTAGTAAACATTTCTGTCGGTGCTGCCAAAAGATTCTTGAGTTATTCGCGAAACAAATTAGGGCGACTGTCGAAACGATAGCCCTGTACCTCACCCAAAATGTGTTGTCATTCGTTTGTGCCGAATTGTAAAATTTCGTTGGCGCCGCAACAGTTGCCGAGCGATTCTAAAATGAAATTGCATTTTGTAGCGAGTGACAGTTTTGCCCGTCCCTAACTTTGTGAATAAAAATAAAAAAAAAAAAAAAAACTATTAGTTTTGTCGGACCCGTACATCCGAAATTATTGTTTGTGTCATAGGCTTTTTCTGTTAATGTAAAAGAAGTCTGCAATAGGAAGGAAGAAGCATTTCACAAATCCCCTTTGCGAAATTCAAAGAGAAAAAATGTTTCTCATTTGTATTCCTATGTTTGCGATGCAACTATTTTTGAATATCTTCTACATTTGTGAAGCTCACATCTTTCTATGAGATTCAGCTATTTTCGAGTACGTTTTACATCTATGAGGCTTACCTTCTACGTTTTTAAATGCAAGAAATATTTAGGCTTATGTTCAATGTTGGTGCTGCGATTTTTGTAAAAGTTAATTTCTAACTAAATTTCTTTTTTTTCTGTGATATTTTAATTATCTGCATGAGCACCACTGCTCATGGTTAAACCTTTTCCTAATTGTTTGCTTCCCCGTGTTAATTCATGTCACTCTGTTAAAAATGGGTTCTATTTACTTTTATGTTTTTCGTTCTGTCTAATTTTTTCTTCCTAAGCTTT